TAAACACTACAGAGAAGTATTAGTTACTCACTGTCCTGAAAATTCTCTACCCTGAGCTTCCTTCCTAGCATTCATATCACTATAAGATGCCAGCCCTTAAGACAATCTTTCTCCAGTAATCAAAGTACACATCTGTGATATCAATCACAATGATGTCTGCTACCACTTTTCACTTTCTGGTATTTTCTTTTTCTTTTTTTTTAAGTTTTATATCTCCCAGAAGTGAATAAAACTCTAGATCACAGGAAAATTTATCAGTCTTTTAAATTATTATATTCCCAGAGTTTTGACCAGTTTACATCATGTAGATTTAGTATTTCTAAATAAACAAGTAAAAGTTTTTCAAATTGATATTTTAGAATTACTCTGTTATTTAGGGAAAAAATATCTTAGTGAAGGTCAATATTTTATCCTTGGGTATGGAAAAACAAAGTAACACTTTAAACATAGGTTACAAATGTATTTGTATTTTTTAAAACACCAGACAAGAAATTATTCCTCTGAAGGCTTGTATTATCAGTAAGTCAAAATTAAGTATAAATCTGTCTTTTTAAATGTAGTTTTCATACAAATATAGGACTTTTATTACAATAAAATTGAAGAAAAGTATACCACTTTAAAGTATATGTAAATCTAAAATAACTGCATCACTCACAATGACACTACTGAATGGTAACACTACTGTTTATTTATAGTTGGCTACTTTTATGTTAGGTATATGTTGGCCCAATCTTCAAAACAAGCTAAGAACTTGTGATTGCTACCACTCTCAAAAGATGAAAATACTGAGGCTTAATAAGTTCAACTGACTTGTTCTGTGTTACAGTTAAGAAGTCCGGGTAGCTTAGTGGGTTACATGTTGGACTACTAACCCCAAGGTCAGTAGTTCAAAGCCACCAACAGTACCCTAGGCGAAGGATGTCTTTGTTACCCCATAAAGACATACAGCTTCAGAAACCTGAAGGGGGAGTTCCACGCTGTCCTGTAAGGTGGCGATGAGTGAGGGTCAACTGGATGACGGCGAGGAGACGAGGGAGTCACACATGACCACCAACCTACATGTTTTACAAACCTAAAGTTACTTTATTAAGCTGTACTACCTTTTAGAATACGTCATAAATGTTGATGGACATTGAACAAGTCTGTTTTAATTCAATAAAACATTTTTGAAATATCATTATCTTATTAACAACATGCATCAATGAAAGTACTGATGACTCAGGTAATACGAAAAGCAGGTAGAATCTTACCATGCAGGATGACATACAGAATTTCAGCAATTTTAAGTGGTGCTTGAAGAAAGGTTATTATCCCGTTAGAAAATAAAGGATAAAGAAAATAGAGTATAACAAAGAGGTTAAATAATCACAATTTACAATGTATCAAGGGTTCATAGGGTTGGAGGGTGGAGGAGGGAGGAAGAAAAGAGGAGCTGAGACCAAAGACTCAAGTAGAAAGTAAATGTTTTGAAAAGGATGATGGAAACCCATGTACACATGTCCTTGATACAACTGATGTATGGATTGTTATTAGAGCTGTAAGAGTCCCCAATAAAGTGATTTATTTTTTT